ATTGTAGTCAAAGATTTAGGTGAAAGGGGCATTCTAGGATAATTATTCGGTGGTTTTTAATTACTGGATGATGAATTTGTTATCTTCTCGCGAACCACTTTTATTACGTTAACCATTTGTTCTTCATCCCAATTTTTACTTGGTTCTTTTGATTGCGTCGGTGTCATTTAGAAAAAAAAATTACCTTTAGAGACTAATTTCTAACTACCCAAGTACTAGTACCTAAATATGGGCCAGCCCATATTTAGGACCATAGTCATTGCCCATATTCAAAATTCTTGAATGAAATGATATTAAACATGTACTTCACAAGTCATACATTACTAACAATTAATCTACCGAGAGACATAAAATTAAACTTATATTCTACAAATAAAAGATATAATTAGACTATTTAGTCCCGATTATCATTGATAAAATAACATGTTTTTACTCATCTTACGAAATCCTGACAGTGGTGAAGCAACAACGTCTTACCTTATCATCACCTCTCGCAGAACTCACGAGATAGAGTGGTTGCGGTGTTGGGGCTAATGAATGCAATAGGAGATATTCGTTTGCAACGCCTTTTAATTATTTGTTTTCGAGAATTTTTACTAGCCCATATTAAAGCACTAGTCCACATTTAGTTACTTTTCTCTACCCTCCGCATATACACAAACTCACAAAATTCGCCTCTCTCTTTATAATAATAGTATAGATTTCTAAGGACACGTGCATTCAATTACTTTTTTGAGTTTTAACAATACTAACGGCCCGCAATTGTTACTTATATAATATAGGGACGAGTAAAGTACTTTTTAATGTTTGCTTGACCTTTAAAAACAATCATAACCTTACTGATGATTAAGCGATTGTTGTTTTAGTAAAACCTTAAAATATGCTGCTGTAATTTTAATAGTAATATTTTAATTAATTTTTTTAAATTAATAACGCACTGTCATTTTGTCACTATATGTATTTATAATTAATTATTCATATTATACGTCTGCACTGAATATTTTGTAATACACTGAATCCATCTTATTTTCTGAGCCTTCAGATAAATATAAATAACTTCTTATTTTGGAAAACGGTTGTATCTATCTGCCTCATACCAGTAATTATTTATTTGGCTTGTAAAAGATTCCATCATTACCTATTAATAAGTACACTCTATGAAAAATTTAAAAAAAATGCTTGTGTGCCCGACCCGTCGTTTATGTCAAGCAAGTAACGTGCTTATAATGTAGGGTGCAAAGCCGCTAAACCCACCCAACTTGTGAGTTCCATTTTTAACAGTAAGCTAGGAGTAAATTGGACTGCTGGAAGGGAAGATAACTCTGCGATTGCATGTAATCCCTACCATATACTAGCTACCAAATGTCGAGGTTTGTTACAAATGGCGGTAGAATCTTTCGAAAAGGCCGAACCCCAATTCCCCGGACTAGCTACAGGGAGCAGGATTTAAATGACAGTATATCAGCCCTGGGTAAACCGATCCACCTGCGCGCTGTCGTGAGTATAAACAGGAAATAATGAAATGTGTTAATTGATGCATAATTTAAAAAGCCTTAAGGTTCAGCTGGTCAGGTAAAGTAAAAAAGATTAGGAATATTCTATTGTATAACGAATATTCTCCAATACCATATCCTCATTAAAACATAAACAATCCATAGATGGATATAAGGTCTCACAGTAGATGTTTATTTTTTTTAATTTTTTTATATACTGCGAATTTTTACCGAAATTTATACGGTTATATATAATGAATTTAATATAATATACCACGTTTCATAGAGGAGAGGAAAATATAAATGATTTTTTTTGTATTTCCACGAATAACACTTGGAATATAATTTTTTTTATGGGTTTTATCGCGTTTGACTTGACTTAATTTCAATTCTCGATGTTTCAGGTACTTTACAGTGCATACCCATGGTCAAAAGCGAATTGAGGTGTTTAACGTCTTAATGTCATGGTTAATTCGGGCTAACTACAGCTTTTAAACATTAATTTAAGGTCTGATCTACGCAGTCTAATGCAAGAATATCACTGTAAGACCATTAAGATTTTACATGGTTGTGTCTCTTTCATAGTAGAGAGGATTTGTTTTTTGTTATTAGATTATACGTGATAGAGCCTCTATCATAGTAAAGATCATTTTGTTTTAATAAGTTTTTACGTGGTAGAACCTCTCTCATAGTGGAGATTACTTATTTTTAATTAAGATTTTACATGATAGAGCGTCTCATAGGGAGATTACTTACTATTTACGAGGTAGAGCGTCTCTTATAGTGGAAATTACTCGCTTTTAATTAAGATTTTATGTGGTAGAGCGTCTCTCATATTGGAGATTACTTGTTTTTAATTAAGATCGTACGTGGTAGAGCGCCCCTCATAGTGAAGATTAGTTGTTTTTAATTAAGAAAATACGTGGTAGAGTGACTCTCATAGTGGAAATTACTTGTTTTTAATTAAGATCTTACGTGGTAGAGTGTCTCTTTTAGTGGAGGTTAATTGTTTTTGATTAAGATTTTACGTGGTAGAGCGTCTCTCATAATGGAGATTATTTGTTTTTAATTAAATTGTAATTAATTGAAATTACAATGAGTGTTACAAATTTAAATTACCAAACCTTACATAGTGTAGTAAGTAATTAATGAGCTCCAGCTCATCATCAATGTTTCCGATGGCTACATCGCTGTTATTCTGCCAGCGCCCTACATGTGAACCATCCCTGTTCACATTGCGTTTAAACACAATTGTTTACATTATTATGATTAGCCAGTTCAAATTAGTAATTTTATCAAAAAAAATTACAATTATAATTGTACAACAATATAACCAATAGGTAAAAAATCAATGATACTCGTAAAATTGCATTAATTTACATGAATCTAACATTATATAAGTTTTTTCCAGACGTATTAGTTAGCTATACTATATAAATAAATTTACGGGTAGCCCTGCAATTAAGTAAGATAATCCAATTATGACAGTATTTGTTCTCTTAGTAAGTGTAGTCTATAATTATTTTAAAGCTGGCTTAATTTGTAATTGTGCGTAGTGTGGTGGGAGATCATTCCAACATTTAATAGACATAAACTTAAACTACCGCGGAAAGCTGATATTCATATCAAAACTTGCTTTGTTAAAGAACCAATGGTACCCGTGACGTCTAGTATTTATATACCGTATAGTATAACAGAGGCCCGCAATTGTAAAATATTGTATTTCAGATTAGTTTTATAAAATCTGAATGATTATAATTATTTAAATTTATAACACTAAAAGCAATTTGTTATACAGGAATCAAGTATCCTAATGTTGCTAAATTTTAAGCTATAGGTGTGCTGTGATTAAATGTTTTATGTTGTGTATGAGGTTGATACCAGTAATAAATTACATCTTTATTGAAAAAAATTATGTTGAACTTTATGTATATTAAAATATATATGACTTGTAGATATATTCCTTTTTTCTAAATCACATTATTAATAAATCATAAAATACACACAGTATTAGTATTGTATGTATTATATTAATTTCCTAATAATCTATAAAAATATGTTGGAGAGAACTTTCAATAAGTTTAAATTAGGTATTAATATAATTTTCCTTTATATTATACTTGAAGATTTTTTTTACCGTCTGGATAAAATAGAGTGCAATAGGTTAACAGAATTAGTAGAAGCCTATGGCACTGATATTAAATATATTTTTTACGTTAACATATTACGAAATTGATCTATCAATAAATACTAATTGGGTGTATATTAATTTAATTTCGATAGTTTTTAATTGATTTATTTATCTAGTTCAAAGTTATTGTTTTTATTTTTTTACCACCGAAAGTTTATTTCAAATTAGTGGTATTTATTGATAGTTTAATTTCTTAATAATCTATAAAATATGTTAATGTAAAAGCAAAAAAATTGTAAAATATCAGTACCATAGATTTCAACCACACTTACCATACCACTTACCATAGGGTTCGTTATTTACACTATTTTTTTTGATAAAAACGAATCATCCAGTATATTCATAGATACGTTTTATTAAAACAAAACCGTTTATATAATAAAATAAGACTAGTGTCTCCTTACAGATTTTAAGTCGGTCATAGTTATATGTGTATCCCAAAATCTGCATCCGTATGTCTTTTCTTATAAAAGTTATCGGATATAGGTGAGTATGGGTGATCAAATTCTGTTTTACATAATATTATATGTGTGACTAATATGACATAAACATGAGCCTTTTGCTTAATCTCCGTCGGCACCAGTAAAATTATCAATTATAGGTACTTTTAAAAACTGATTACTTAAAGAGATTTTTTATTGGTAAACGAGGCATTCCATCTTTGTCCTGAGGGATAAAAACGCTTTTGCGGTTTTAATTTTAATTAATGATAGATGTAGGTAGGTGTGTATGGGCTACAGGATTTATTTGCTACCGCGTGGACTGTGTGCTCGTTTATCGACCCTACTTCTATAAAAACGAACGGTGATGGTAAATATCGTGATAAAGCCTGCATGTCTAAGAATTAAAATATTCCAAGGGCGTGGGAAGTAGGCCAACTCGCACTAGAGCACCTCAGAGGAATAAAATAAATGTTCCAAACGCGTTGAGAGGAGAACTGTGCCCAGCTGATGGACGTAATAAAGCTGTAGGTACCACACATATTCAATATATTTATCTTTTTTTATTACATTTTTCATCATCATATTTGATAGAGGATTACAGTAACCATAATAATATAAGTTTAAAAGTGATATGTACCTATCTAGTGGATACCTGGCTATGTTGTGCTATTAGTTCGGACCCCAAGATACAGGATTATCCTAGTTTGGGGTCCAACGGAAAATATTTGTATATCTTATCTTGAACATTGTTTAGACGTTTAGATTACTGTTCTTGCTTACATTTGTAAAATCTATATGACTATAAAATTTATTATTATTATTGTGTGGTTAGTATAGTGTTTTTTATTAAGTTGATGTCTTAATCAGACGTACCGAAAAGATCGTGCGCTCTGTGGAAGGGCGTGTGCGCAAGATGGTGTAACTGGAGCGGCGGGATGGCGGGCGGCGGGCGCGGCGCGAGGATGCTGTCGATGGTGAAGAGCGGCGCGGGCGGGCGCTCGGGCAGCGCGCCGCCCAGCAGCAGCGCCGTGCTGAGCAAGGCCGGGGAGTCGCGCGGCCACGCGCCCGGCGCACCCATGCCCTCGCGCGCCACGCTGCACGCCCGCGTCACGCTGCAGCCCGCCTCACCTTCCACGATACGCACTGATCCTGTCACGCTGCACGTGTCACGCAAACTTCATGCCGCAACACGAAAACCGCATCACGCTCCGAATAACACCTCACATCCACACAAAAATCCACCTTGTTCCGCGTTACACTCGGTCACCGTGCCAGTTAATTACGGGATCTAGGGATGTACGCGTGATGCGATTGCGAGTAAATCGTTTTAGTGAGCGGGGCGCTCGGCTCAAGTCGTCGTCGTGGGGAGTTGTGGGGTGAAGTGCAGGGCGTGCGCCGGGGCGTGGCTCGTCGGACTCCGCCCTTTTATCCGGCTTAATGGAAGTGACGACACGTCGCTCCCGAACAATCATAAATGATAATAGTATCTCACTCTCATCCCTACATCTCTGTGTAAGCACTTTATATTGTTTATTGTAGTTATCGTTATATCTTTTAACGCGATAAATGTAGCTATCCAGAAGTATATATAAATATCTATACTTATTATTAAAAGTTAAAATGATACCACAGCCTTTTTAACACGTGTATATTAAAAGTATATATATATCTTCTATGTTTATAAATATCATTAATACAATTTTGCAAAAATATACGTATTATTGCTTAAGTTAAAAAGATACCACAGCCTTTTTAATACGTGTAAGTATATTAAATGTATTTTATTAATTATTACCTAAGTATAATAAATATTATAAATATCTACTTACATATTTATTTTGTAAAAGTTGTAAATCTTTTGGTACCTACATCTAAAATGTTTTCAGAGTTTATAATTTGTATGTTTCTACTTACAATTACCAACTAGTTCAACTAAGCTAGTTTTTACGTCTTAAATTCCAACCACAGTTTTATACATATATTAGCCACTGATACACGTTTTAGCTTATTATACACAATATATAAAAAAAAGAAACTATATAGAAAAACTGACACTAAAGATTTAAATAGTCAAAAAGGCCTGCTCCCCGTGTGCTCCCCGTGCCAAGAACGCTGGCTGCATTTCCTCGCTGAATAGGCTATACTTAGCCTTTGAGCGAGGAAAGAACCAGCCTTCTTATTACCAGCAGCGACGACCAGCCGTAGATACAGTTCCTTTAGGAACTTCACTGCACGTGGACCCCACGGACTTATAGTCTCTACAGCAAATGGCACAAATATGTAGTAATTTACCATTTACTAAATTCAGCTGCCTCTGATGCCGCCCCGGCTCTAAAAGAGGTACCCTTGAGATGAGAGGCCGCCAAAGTGTCAACGCAAGTAGCATCCCACACTAGAGCTTTACCTCTCACAGACTAAATTAAAAAAAAAACGAATATTGGTTCGGTTTCTGAGCCTTTTGGAATATATTTTGAGGAGGGCGACAGGAAACCCGTCCTGGTTCCTTTAGAAGAGAAGCGAGAGCCATAGTGTGGATGTTACGTGCGTAGACACTGGCGGCCTAGCATCTCAAGAGTAGGTGCTTCTATAGCCATTCAGCTATGAAACGCAGCTGACGCTCTTTGCACACAGTAGCAGTGTTATAGTTGTATTTTAATTTTTTTTATTTTTAATTGCAATAAATTTTCTTTATATGACAATCGTTATATTATGTTGTTCATTGTTATAGAACAAAAATATTAGATAACATAGTTTCATCAACTTTCTGAAACAAAAAAGATAGTAGGTAAAGTAAAGTTACAGCCTTACAGCCTATATACGTCCCACTGCTGGGCACAGGCCTCCCCCTCATTTCTGAGAGGGTTTTAGGGCAAGGAAGTGTTCGCCGCGCAGCCCCAATGCGTGTTGGCGAACTTCACATGTCTTCAAAATATTTTTTATTTTTGCGTTGTAATCTCACAGCTTTTTACCAAATTAATAGGAAAGTATACTCGTGAAAGTATACTAATATGAAAGTGTACGGTAAATACACAATTTTTAAAATTTTGTCTGTCTGCCTATCTATCTGTCTGTTCGTTCCGGCTAAACTCCAAAATGGCTGGACCAATTACGACGGAACTTTCACTGGCAGATAGCTTATGTTATAAGAAGTAGATAACTTAGGCTATTTTTATTTTATAGTTATATTTTATATTTTTATATAAAAAGAATAAGGGTTAGACGCAAAAAGAATTAAAACTTATCCATTCGTATTAAATTACATGCGTACGAAGTCGCGGGAACTGCTAGTTTTCAAGACGTAAAGCTACGCACGAATATATCGCCGCGCCCACTGACCCCCTATCTACGATGATTTTTTTTGTCAAACTTATATGAGGGCTTTACAAACTATATACACCATTGAAAGAGGATTAGGAATAACTTTTACATTAGAAATTTAATTTAAAGAATATAAATTTTTAAATACACTATTCAAATGCAGTAACCATTTTACACTTTATCCTATAATCCCTTTGTAAACGAGCCATTGTTTGTATATATATATATATATATATATATATATATATATATATATATATATATATATATATATATATACATATATATATATACATATATATATATATAATCGGAATCTCGGAAACGGCTTCAACGATTTTCATAAAATTTTGTGTCCAGGGAGTTTCGGGGGCAATAAATCGATCTAGCAGGATTTATTTTTAGAAAATGTCTTTTTGTCTGTGTTTTCAGGCAATGAAAAACTGCTACAATATAAGAAGGTAAATTTTGACTCTATGTTAATGATCGTAATAGCTCAAGTGGATGACGAGCGTTCGCGAAATCATAATGTCTTGGTTCGAGCCCTGTCTTCGGTCTGATGTTTTTCCTTTTTTTTTTCAAGTTCCCTTCTTTTGTGAGAAAATCTATTATTTCGAGCCCTTTTTTTAGTAATTTTTAAAAATACGAAAATTTTAATTAAACTAATTGCACTCATGATTTTTTATTCAAATAACCAGTTCAGTTTTTTCTATTATGTCAATAAGATCAAAAAATATTATTCATATTTCATCAGTATTAATTTGTGTCTATGTAATTTCAAAAAAAAAAACCGAGCAAAGCTCGGCCATCCAGGTACTTAGAATAATCGCCAAAAATATTGTAAAGTAGCCATTTGTAATACCACCACATATAACACATATAATTACTATCGCACTTATCATTAATAATCTGCCATCACACGTCATGTGTATTATTAGGATACTTGTTCTCCGGCTATACCTTATATTAACCTGTGCTGACATTTACACCACCCACCTCTCACACAAGAGAGATTATCGCCTCCCACCAATTATCTTTTATATACCTACCTTCTCAGCCTTTATACCTACTAGTAGACATGTATAAGGGCTTAAGAAGTCTTAAGGAACAGTTTTTTGGTACAATTGAGATTCGAGGATTAGTAATCTCATGTCTACATAAATAACAGCGAACAAATTGAGTGTCGTATGTTTTGTAGAGCTCCGCGCCCGCGGCCTTTTGCTACGTGTTCGCCTTTTTGCAGCTTACAGCTCCAACAATACTTAATTCCGATGTACACGCCGTGTGGATACACGACAAATGACAGTTTTTTGGACGCGCCAAAAAAAGGCATCCATGGATATCTTTTTTAATCACTGATATAATGGCCCCGCCTGTTAACTAATGAATAAACTGTTGCTATTTCAAAATTAATGTTATAAGACTCCGGACATTTTCAATTAATTAGATTTTTTAACTAATTTTTTTCATCACTAAAAATAATATTACTTAGGTATATCATATTTACGTAATCAATATTAAAGCTTTATTTATATATTAAGCGAATATTACTATACTAGTCAAATTGTAAATAATATCTAACCTTCAATGTAATATATTATCTGTGTATATGAAACTTATAATAAAATTATAGTGTCCGTGTGTTATTTTGAATGATCAGCTTATGAAAAGGGTTATGGAATGTAAAACTATTAATCTATCGACATAAAATTTATACAAATTATACTTAATAATCACTCTGGAAACTCTGTGTTTTGCTTGGTATTTTATCCGTTTAGTTTTAGTTTTGCTTGATATTTTAAGCACAATATATAGATTTTTGTTATCTTACGTTATTTACTTTTCTTTTGTTTTACTGATTATGATGTTTCAATGAGGAATTATTATATTATTTATTAGTTTTTTTTAATAGCCTTGGGTGACAAACTAGCGCACAAACTAACACAGTCATTTACATTTATCCTCGGTTAAGAATCAAAACGTAAATGCATAGTCACCCCTAAGGACTAAGATGGAATGCCTCGATTTCAGTTGCTTATTTACGCTGGTACCTATTTTGTGAGAGCGTTGTCCTGCCCCGATTAAGCCGACCCATTCGTGCTACAACTAGGTATAATACAAGCTGCAGCGTGGCTCTACCACGTACCACGTACCATGTACCTACCTAGGTACCACGAGTTGTCAGATAAACTATTTTATATAAACTTTTAAATTTTTATCTTATATGCCTTGCATAATATAAATTAATTATGACAACAGTGGTGTTACATAATATAATAAATGATTTTTTTACCGTCTAGAAAAAATAGGTGAACGGAATAGAAACCTATGACTACTGATATTTTACATTAACATAATATTATGAAATTGACCTATCAAGAAATACTAGATACTAATTGGGTACATATTATTTTAATTTAGATAGTTTTTAATTGATTTATTTAGTTCAAAAATTTTGTTGTTATTTTTTTAGTGTAGGTACCAAAAGTTTATTTCAAATTAGTAGTTTTTCTTGATAGATCAATTTCATAATATGTCTAAAGGCATTAAGTCCGCCAATTGTACATTTAAGACCAATAAAGATTATAAATAAATAAATATGTTAATGTAAAATAAAATACAAAATTGTAAAATATCTGCGTCATAGGTTCTATTCCGTTTACCCGTTACGCCCTATTTTTTCCAAATGGTAATAAAATCACCCAGTATAATATATATCGCAAGTCGTGTTACGCGTCTCCGACAGAATATCAGCGGACC